CTTCTTCTTTCCAATTGCTTAAATTGGAAAATTTACTGCGATGATCATTTTTCACTTTCATCTACAACCGCAGTTCGAATATGAATTATTTCATATATACTTCTTGGACTCTCTTGGACAAGGAATCGGAGAACCAGTGACTGAAATTTAATGACACGATGCTGGCTCTCGCAAACAGTTCCTGGGTTTGCTGACTTTGCTGACTTTGCTGTGTGTACTGGAAATTACCCAAACAGGAACAAGCGAGTTTCATTATCTGGATGAACTGTACGGTAATGAACTTGTGTTCGTAGTCAGTTTTGTCTCTTCAAAAAATACTAATGTAGAAACTGCAGAGCAATTTATCCTACTGTGCGCAAGGTATGTTTGTGATTTCTCTGGTTTCTCCAACTTCTTTCAAAAACTTGAAGAAACCGTTAAAGCTTAAACTATATCGTATTTTGTTTTCTTTGTATTGTTTCTTTTTGTTTTTCTTTGTTGTTGTTGTTTTGTTTAGTTTTTCGCTTTTGACCCACGATGAATTCTTTGATGTTTTCCACTGAAAGAAGTTTCGCCTTAAGACTGTTTGCTTATTCCAAAAGTTCATTATTGGAAACGTGACTGAGACCGTTGCTGGTTTTCGTAAATGCTTTAGCGATATTAAAGGGTGTACGTGTAACTCCTGCACGTAAATCTCTTTTAAGGATTAGTGCTTAAAGTTTTTACTAACATTTTAATACCTCATTTTGGTAATTAGTTCTTAGATCCTATTTATTTGTTGTCGAGCGTTTTCAACATGAGCCTCTGGCTCGGAAGATTGTGCAGACACTTCCCACGTTTTCGACATTAAATAAATTATTACTACTATTGTTATTACTATAAAACAGAGGAATCAAGAGGAGTCTGGCAACTTTGTTACATCTGGCGTACGTCGGATTAATTTGAAACTGGAAATTAGTCTTGACTAAATAACCGATTTCATTCAAACAGTAACAAAACAAACTGAGTTGAGGTTAAAAAGAAAAAAAGTTTTAAAAGAGGTACAGGATTTGAGCATAACAAGCACTACTGATAGATCACAACAGTACCAGAGAAAGAAAGGGCTCACTCTTGGAAGTCAATGAAGTTGTTGATAAAAGAAATGAGCTGTCCAATAATAGCTTTATTTGGTTTACAACAGCATAAAATAAATGCAAATGACGTCATCTATGCGTTTATCCTCCAATTGATCATAAGTAAGAACCAATCAAAAGGAGAAAATAATTCGACTTATTATATGGCAAGCTCCGCGAGCGGGCAAGATGAATCAAATCCTGCGCTTTGATTGGCTACCCGAGCGGGCAAGATGGGGCTATCTTGTCCGCTCGGGACTACCCGCCGTGTCCCGCNCTCGCAAAAAAAGAACTTGGCCAATATCCAGCCATCTTGACCTCACACTTGGTCAATAACCCGTATATATTGCGTAAAAAAAAATTGACAACGATAACTCACTTCTCTCCGCAGACAGACGAGTAATTACTGCTAAGAGCAATAACAAAAGGCAAGAGCTTTGAGATGGTCTCTTTACCTGAGTGCATACCCTGGATGACTGCAGCCTTAGCCGAGTCTGTTGCTATAGTAACACTAAACCTCTGTACGATAATTGTTTTTGCGAGAAACCGTAACCTCCGCAAGCGTAGCACGTACCTGGTGATAAATTTGGCAGTTATAGATCTGCTGGTTGGAGGACTTGCTGTTTATGATTTGTTCTATCTGTCTGGAGCAGTGTGTATTCAGTGGAAGAGGCTCTCAATTGCAGATCGGGCAACTTATGTAGTATTAACACTCACATGTTTGCTCCCTAACAGTTCTTTAACAAACATCACCGTTATGGCTTTAGAACGGGTGCACGTGACTTTCTTGCCGTTGAAACATCACGTGTTGAAGAAACGGGTTTATGGAGTAATAATTGCCGTTGTTTGGGTTACAGCTACGTTAGTGGCAATTTCTGATGCACTTCTTGTATATTTAGAAGAAAAAAAGATCTATTTCATCTTACATGTTATCTTTTATTCAATTTGTTTGTTGATTATTTGTGTTTCTTACTCATCCATTGTTATTAAAGTCCGTTGTGGAGTGCAGCCTCAACACCATGGCGCAGCCAGTAGAGAAAGAAAACTGACCTTGACATTGTTGATTGTGACTACTGTATCTCTTTTGTTGTATCTACCATTCGTTGTTTACTATTATGTCTCTTATCTCGTTAACTTTGAAATAGTGCAGTCACTGCCCGCCTCAATGCATTTCCATTTGGAAAATGCATTGCTGGTTTTATTTTATGCTAACTCCTTGGCAAATCCTGTATTATACGCTATCCGCATGCCGGAATACAGATCAGCTGTACTTGCACTCTTTCGCAAATGACCTCAGCTGTACAAAGACGTGTCACGTAATACAGATAACATAAAGAGCTATTGGGAAAAACAGCGTGAGATATCTAGGGCCTAAACTGTGGGCAAAGCTGAACGAAGACTTTAGAAAGTCAGAAACCCTGAACAAATTTGGAAGTCGGGTAAGAAAACTAAACTTGACCGAATTGATTAGCGAAAATTGTAGCAATTGTTTTTTTTTATGTTCTAACTAACCTTGCCTTGTACATTAGAAACAATTTTGCATGATTGGAATTTTAATCATTTTTATTAGCATAGGTTAACTTATGAGCCAAAATTGTAAATAGTTGTCTTTTATGCTGTAATTAACTACGTCTCGTAATCTTAGAATTAATCTTATTTACGACTGGATTTTATAATTTTTATTAGTATAGGTGTCCTCAATTAGCTTACTGTTTTACAGCGAGCTCGAATTTTGAAACGTTACTGAATAAAGTTAGTTATTTATTTCTTAATTTATTTATTCATTATTGTTATCCTTCGCTTTGTCATTTGAAATATTGCATTAACTGAAATCACGATTGAGATAAGAAACCGAGTAGTGTTTGTCCTTAAACAGCACATAAACATACTTTTATGGAAAGTTAACAAGAACCTGCACTCCAAAGTGTCTAAAAGGCGTTTTATTGTCTATATCCTGAGTGTCAGAGTAGCTGACTGAAATATATGTTATTACGTTTACAGTTTAGTAGCGATTCAATGCCGGTCGTGCTATATCACCTTGAGTGCGGGTTAAGTTAACGAGTTTCGGACACTCAATACCGTCAACTTGATATTGATTAAGTAATTGTTTTAAAAATCCCTTACTTGATAGCATTTCATAATTGATAACCTAGTCAGTTTGAGCGGTGCTTTATGGGAAGGTCTACTTATATATGCTGTATAGGGATAACCTGGAAGAGGCTTTTTATAGGCAGGGAGTTTCCCTTTTGGAAAAAGAACACAAAACGCAAGCTCATTCCCAGGGCACGTTCCCTTCCGAGAATGGAAAAGGTGGGAAAACTGGAGACTCAGGAGATACAAACACACAAAAAAGAAACAAACAAATAAATAGATTTCAAGAAGAAACAGTTGGACTTCTTCGACATTTTTGCAGCATTTTTAATCGAAATTTATCTGCGTAACTTACTTTATTTGGTAAATATTGGAAAAATCAAGGGAAAAAAATGAAATGGAAGAATCCACCGGCCGAATCTAGAGACTTTTCCCGACCTTCTCACTTTCGAAGAGAGAAGCGCCCTGAGGACGAGGGTGAATGATGTTGTAATTCATTTTAATAGTATATACCACACAAGTGAATATAGCTTTCCGCGCATTCTGATTGGCTAGCTCGGAGGTGAATAGCAGGTACTATTCACCTCCACTTCGGTGAATAATTGTTAATTATTCAAACTTGACACATGTTTCAAAGGATACTCATGGAAATACGACATCTTTGATAATGTTAAGTGCTGTAAAAACCAAGATAAATAAAAATGATATCCCGATGTTATAAATTGTTTCCTTTTTTCCCTTTTTTCCGAGTTCTTACCTATAATTTACATGCGCATCTCATACAGTCATGTGCGCAAGAGGTTGAACAGGCAATGGGTGACAAACAGACTACTGAGTATTGGGTTTTTTCCGAGTCTAATTCTAGATCTTAAATTAAGCCAGTGTTTTCTCTCCCGGGGATGGGTGGTGTTCTCTATACCTAATCAAGGCATCATTGGCGCTTGTCTTGTTACTATTATAATTATTTTTTTTGCCGAATGAGTTGCGTGCATTTCTCGTCTATATGTTAGCGGAAGATGATTTACTCCCAGCTTACATCACTTGTTTTTCGCAATTGATGAGTTAATTAAATCAGATCTAGAATTGATCGACTGGTTACTGGCGTGTAACCCTCCATTTCCTGTAACGAATGACGGCTGTATAGTCTGTAGTTCAAGAGATGGGCCTTTTTTAGTAACAATAAAACTCTTCTCTGGTTCTATAGAGTTGACTTTTCCGGAGGTAATTATTTTCCGTATCGCCGTTCGTATTTCCATCATGCGCCAACAGTAAATTAAAGGATTTAATGCCGAGTTGATAAAAATTGATGTTACCGTGTAGAGATAGGCGGCCTTTGATTGAAGTGTTTCTCCAGTGGCAAGTTCCACCAACATAACGAGTAGAAATGGAAAGTAGCAGAGGAGAAAAAACCCTAGAATGTATAACATGGTTATTGTGGATCTCTTATATCGTACCATATCAATGTCCTTGTTACGATTGTCATCAGGCGATCTCGTGAAACACTGCCGCCTTATTTGCAACTGATGTCGGCGTACCAGTCTATAAATCATGATATATGCAAGAAACATTATCGCGGATGTTATAACCAGGAAGTTGACGGCGATTATTCGAAGTATTTTCCTGTTCACGACAAAAAATCTTAGTATAGTGATCGTTATCCAGAGCAACCAGAAACTCAGGACTACTTTGGCGATTCCTCGCCTGGTCACAACGTCGTGGTATCGCAGATGAAGGTGAACGGCTAAGAATCTTTCGACGCTGATTGCAGTGATGGTAAATAAGGAAACTCCGGCGAGAAGCCAGCCGAAAGATTCGGACACTACCCCTGCCACGCAGTGCACCTTAATATCGCCTGCCATCTGTGAGATGCGCCAGGCCGAAAACGCCGGTTGGGCTAACAGTCCGACGGCCAGATCGGACGTGGCTAAAGACAACAGTAGCGCATTGGAGGGAGTTTGAAGCGATGGCGTCTTCCATACCGCTAAAATAACCAGTACATTTCCAAAGATGCCAGGAAGGAGAAACACGCAGTTCAGAATAGAACAAATAAGATTATGGACGAACAAGTATTCGGGATCTTCGACAGAGTCGGTTATAAATCGGCAGGGATTCACAGGGTCTGTCTCCGATTGGTTTTGACTCATCGTGATATCAACTCCGATTGACAAGATTTTTGTACAAGCTTGTATGACGGTGAACTCGAAAATTTTCGCTTTCCTGGACTGAAGTGGGAATGTGGCAATCAGCTTGGTGTCAAGAGAACGAACCTTCTCGGCGACTCCTTTATGTTATTAATACTTGATGCTCCATTGTTCGGCGCGGTAATTGTAAAAATCATGTGTGTCGGTCTGCCTCCGCCGAGTTGCCTGTCAGTTTGAGTGCAGGTTGATCTATTCTTCCATTCAACTTCGCACTAACACGATATTTTAAATTGAATGTGTAATCAGGGTGTAATTAAATTCAACATCGTGCCCACAAGGAAATTTAAGGCGAGGGCGGATTTAAAGGGATCGCGCGAGAGACTGACGACATTGTTACTTTGAGTCTTTTGTATTCACGGCAGCGGTGAGGGGTAAATTGATTGTCTGGCAAATGGGCAATAAATCACAAATAAGAGTGTACTTTACTGTGAAAACAATTGTAATCTCTGGTAAACAATATGGAAATTGGTTGAACAAGTAATGGACTGAGACACAATGCATAATTTAAAGGTGTAGTGGCTGTGGGAAACTGAAAAAACGTAGGCAAAACGTCAACACGGAAAATAAGGCTTTGCTTGGAATTTTTGAAAGTAGTATTTCCTGATATCTGCAGTCTGGTGGGAAAAGTGTGAAATTTTAGATCATTTTCAGCAGTCAATCGCCAGCGCATTTATCTATAAGCGCCATGATTTAATTCCATGTACTGTATACGGCATGATGGCAAATCTTGTTAAAACTTCCTCAGTCTAATAGTCCAGCGAAATTGTTGACGGAAATTTCTCAGAATCACAGCTTTTAACGGCAGTCAATTCCATTATCTCATTTTTGTTTAGCGCATTTTTATGACAACCGTAAAAAAGCCGATTCATTTATAACAAGATCGGACGATTTAGGATGTCGCCAACAGAAAGACCGCGGAAAATAGGATTACAATGGATAATGTTTTCTCAGACACATTATCGCGATGTCAGAGGTGCTGAGGAAAAAAGTCATTCAATAAATTGCAGGTCTCTCTTTGAAACTGCTAAGCTCGTTAATTTTGAACTATCTTTAAACGATATTTTATAAAAATTTGTGTTGATTGAGTGACAGCGTTTGTTGCAGCGTTTAAAAAGGAAAATTGTCATCAATCTGGCAATGTAAAATCGGTGTTTTTTTTTTTTTGCTTATACAATGGGGCCTTTTAATCGCATTCGATTCGATTCAGGTAACTAATGAATAAATATATTACAATCGCTTTCAGAGTATACATTTCACTCCTTTTAGCTTTTAGGCGAGAAAAACAGTGGGCTTCAAATCTGAGTGAAAGCGAACATAGAAACAAAGAAAGGGATTTTCCTTGGCAATCTGCTTAGTTACTCCCAGTAAGGCAACCATACCAGTAATTTAGTCTTTTTACATATTCTGTCTGAAATTTATTTTAATTCTTTTAAGTTGAAAAAAACGCACAGTTGCGTTCCTTCAACGTTCACTAAACGAAAGCGTAAATGCTGAACTCGTAAAACTTAAATGGCCCTAATGAGCCACACCTTTGTTTTTGTTTACAGACGAGAGTTTGGCTGTCACGTTTTATTCGGAGCCTGTCGAAACGAAGGAAAACACTGAAACTAGTAAAGATATTAACGACACTTTCAGGAACACAACTTACAGTAAACAATAGGATTTCTCTTCACTATGCAATAACCACAATTTCAATGGCATCGAAAACCAGGGTGCTGTATAGTAAGCAATAAACTGTGGGTGAACGAAACACTCACACGATGTTATATGATACATATCGTGAAATTTCTTTCTTCAGTGTGCACTTTTGTCAGGACATAAAACAAATCGAAACTTGATTCCGTCATCATCAGCAGCAGTAGCACATCGTTATCATTTCTCTACGCGCCAGTTAAAAGAAAACGTCGCCTAGAAGATTTTCGCATGGATTTTTTCTCAGCAGTTCCAACTTTAACCGGGTTTATCCCAATAATAGACCTTAATTTAATCGTTTAGTGGTAATGTAACACGGACGGACGCCTTCGTATCCGATAGTTTGACAGGAAATAGGCGTTTTACGAGTTGCGTTGTATATAGTTTTCTGACGGGCAGAAAATCGCTGGTTACCTTGAGTGATAAGGTCCGCTCCTGTTCGCAAATCATCGAAAAAGAAATTTAGTACATACTGCTTTTTTCCCCTAAAATTTTTGAAACCTTTCTCGTTTTCTTCGATTCTTCGACCGGTAGCACTCTTTTGCTGAACCTATAATGCCGAGATTTTATCATATTTTGCATGTTCTTTTGACCTTATATCATCAAATGATGTCACAACTCTAAATAATAATAATAATAATGACGACGACGACGACGACTACGATGATGATGATGATGATGATGATGATGATGATGATGATGATGATGATAATTCAAGTTCGCGGAGGATCCTGCGAAAAACAGCGAGAGAACAAACTGATAGAGGACCGCACAACTTCCTCATTTTTGCTGTTCCCTTTTGTTAGTGCTGCTATAGACTACCTGATTGGTTAATTGATAACTCCCGGCTTACAAAGTGATCATTTGAACATTGTTAAAGAAGCCGGCTTGCGTGTTAACAGTCATGCTAATAAATAACTCAAGATTGCTCAAATCACGTGAGATTTATTACATTTTGAGCGCGATGTACATTTTTAATAATATTTAAGATTTTAAAAGAAAGCTTCAGCAAAAGTAAGCAACATTTTATAGTGACAATTACACCGTGAGAGATCTGTTTTTATTGGTGATCATATCACGGATCATTAGTGGTCTCATGCAAAGATCATGCGCAAACAATGAGTCCTTATGTTTTCTCCGCGTGCACGTCAGATGGTGCGACAACAAAATAGTTTCAATACATTAACGAGCAGAACATGACCATCAAAAGTAACCATAGTAACACAGCTCTCCCGCCTTCTGTAGGAGAGAGCGGTCTTTCTGATTTTCAGTTGAGAATGGGCAACTGAGTACAGGCTTGGAAAATATTGACAAGAATAAGTTCCAAATGAACCAGCACCAGATATAAACCGTATCTGTGAAAACTTTCAATGGGTAGTAGCGTTTGACCAGACTCAAAAAATACTCTGCCTACGGGCTACCAAACCCCGGGAAGACTTCTATATAAAAAGGACGGGAGTGCTCCTCGGAAATTTTGAAAAGAACCCCAAAGAGCTACCAAGACCCTGTTTTGTGGGCGTCTTGAACTTTTTAAACCCCTCAGAGGCACCAATTCTAAAACACTATCTTCTGTCATATTTTTTTGGCTCAATACCCTAAAAGTTACTGTAAAATTTCCCGCTGTGGACCTTTTCAGGCAGAACACCAATACCGCGTTTTTAGAAGGTTCTAGAAGGTTCGACGAGCACCCAGTCCTTTTAATATGAGTTGCCTCCACCGGGTACCAGACACGGTGAAGCTGAGCCCTTGAAAATGGCAACCCGCAAGCAACTTCTCAACCTCTAGCTGGAAGAGTTAGTAACATTTTTGGTACAACGAAATAGATGCAAAGAACGGTGATAACTTTTTATCCAGAAACGAGAGAGGTTGTCTGTAAGCTTAGAGATCCAGGTAAGTGGTAGGCTACGAACTCAGACAGATTTCCGGCTGTCGCTTGTCTCCGTCGAAATAACCGGATGCTCTCGAAGGCTAGGGAAGTGGGCAGTCTCTGGTCAAAAACCCCACAGGATCACCGACATGGCCCGACAAATTAATTGAAAATTCATAATGATTTGGTGGGAGAAGAGGGAATTGACCTGTTGGAATTCCTTGTTGACATCCTGCCTTGAAAACTTCCATGTATGTGAAACCCTTACGCTATGCCTCTGGAAAAACAATAACCACATAGCAAAACACTACAGTTGCAGGTTTTTTTATTATTATTAAACAATCAACGATATCGGCGAAGGGACAGCATGTTACGCCTCTTCCAGCAAGCACGCCGGGAGCTACCGATCACCTTGTTGTACAAGTGACCCTTGCGCATACCACGGTTTTTACGGCCAGCGGCAGTCAGTCCACGCAGCTCACGGTGCTTGTGGACTGGTTTGCAGATCCAGTTAATTCTTGGGTCTCGCCGCACTGCCTTGTGGAATGGGTCCACCATGATGACTTCAAAGAATTTGTATGTGGAGTCCTCTGCCACCCAGTATGAGCTGAGAACCCGCAGGCTGCCGCAGTATCGGCCAGCACGCTCCTGAAAAACAGAGAGCACAGACCAGTCACTATACCTGTACATTCAAAGTGTTTTTAAGTGAAAATACTGGGTAAATCTAATTAACACAGCAATGCAACTTTAATCTTGTTGTCTAATTTTGTCCTGGAAATTTGAAGCTTTACAAATCAGTGGCACCCGAATACAATCATTTGCATTGATGACGGTTGCAACCACCTCTCGTAACCCACCACCTCTCTTCAGCAACCAGTTTCCAATATACCAAACGTTTAAGTCAAATCACTATATTTGGAACTCTTGTAACTGACCCCATCTTGTAGCAGCCGCAACCACTTTTAGATCTAAAAGTTTGAAATTTTTTATTGTTTTTAACCTCCTGTAAACAACCACTTGATAGAAAATAGAGCTGAAATTGGATAATAAGGTGTTGTAGCATTATCGCATTCCTGGGTACCTGATTTCTCAAAATTGACTTTTGACATGAATAAAACATTAAAACATAGGATAAGTCTCTGCAGTAACCATATGTTAATGAGGCAAAATTTTGACCAAATATGGTTGAAGCCCTGATAAGTGACCACCTCCCACAAGCAATTGCTTATGGGTGGTTAACTGTATTTTGGAGATTAGAGCTAAACATAGGAATTAAGTCCAAAATGTCATTCTCAAATTAGTTCAAAGGCAAGGATTTTCCTTAACACTGTGTTTTGACCCAAAACAGTTGTTCTTCTTGACTCTGTAGAAGCCCTTTATGCAATTTTTTTTTGCATATTTGGAAGCATTTGGCAATCTGCCTAAACAAGTAAACCCTAAACATAAAAACCGATGAGTAGTTTTTGCTTCTTTATGCATGAATAAATCTTTATTAATTTAGCAATATCATATGAAAATTAGGAAAATCGGTCAGGAAACTGTCTTGTTAAGAGCTACAAGTACTATAAACCATATAACTAACATAGGAATTAAGTCCAAAATGTCATTCTCAAATTATTTCGAAGGCAAGGATTTTCCTTAACACTGTATTTTGACCCAAAACAGTTGTTCTTCTTGACTCTGTAGAAGCCCTTTATACAATTTTTTTGGCAGATTTGGAAGCATTTGGCAATCTGCATAAACAAGTAAAACCTAAACATAAAAACCAATGAGTAGTTTTTGCTTGTTTATGCATGAATAAATCTTTATTAATTTAGCAACATCATATGAAAATTAGGAAAATCGGTCAGGAAACTGTCTTGTTAAGAGCTACAAGTACTATAAACCATATAACTAACAGTAGGTTCAATTGTGACAATCATCTTGCATACTGTTACATGTAGGGTTACACACAGTTTTGTCAATGAGGGGGAATGAGTAGTTAAGAAATGATGGTATAAGTAAACACAAGTTTACCAACCTCGGCCACAGATCGCAAGCTCCTCTGAAATTTCAGTTGGTTTACTCCCTGGTTGGCTGGTTTTCCGTAGGTTGCACCCTTAGGTACTGGGCGCTTGCGTCCTCCACGCCTTACACGTACACGGTAGACAACATATCCTTGCTTAGCCTTGTATCCCAGGCGACGTGCTTTGTCAGGACGCATTGGGCGGGATGCTCGGTGGATGGCATTGAGTTGGCGATATTGCCAGCATCGTACACGCAGTAAGAACCGCAAAAGATCGGACTGTTTCTTTTTAAAGAGCTCCTCAAGGTACTTGTATGCTCCCATTTTTTAGTCCTAGATCAGCTAAGGAGGAGGAAAGAACAGGCTTCAGTTAATCAATATACTAATGCAATATACTGGAGTTTGTATAATTTCAACATAACTCCATTTCAAACTATCAATAAATGTTAGTCATTGGATAGTGGCTGACCAAAACTCATCCCAGTCAAACACAATCCAATCTGTGGTCAGACATTCTAAAGATAATCCAACTGAGAAAACCAAAATCGGAGTCAAAAGTCTTGAAACACTTTTCCCAACATATGGTCGACTTTCTGTCCACCTCCCACTCCCCACTCCCAACATAATGTTGATGTTGATTCATCCAAAGTAGACCCACTATTCCAACTTTGTTTTTGCGGGGAAGGGGGGCTCGGCAAATAAAATAATGACTTCCCACTTCAAAATAATGCGTCACCAGTTGTCATTTTGTCAAGTGTCCCAGGGACTTCTGGCCAGGAATTGTTGTGAGACTTTTGTCTTGTGTCCGTGAAATCAGAGAACAAGCTCAAATGCTCATTTGCACAAGATTTAGTTGTTAAGATCTGACACTTAAAAATACACACAAAGTGTTCTGCTTGTTGCAGATCAGGGGCTTTTGGCACAACAATGAATTAGCATAAAATGATTGTTGTCTATTTCTCTATAAAAGTTTAGAAAAAGAAACTATTGTCAGCTGAGTCCCACACTAAGAGACTGACAACATTGTTCAGTCAGTAACTTAGTTCACTTTTATTGAACTTATAGTTGAAGTGATATGCAGATGAAGTATAGTTTACAACTATATGTTGTTGTTTTGGTAGTAGACAACAGACATGTAACGTTTGTCACCTATTTTCAATTAAGTTGGTTTTATATTCGGATGACTAAAATCCGATGGACAAGTGCAATAAGTGCATTAAATTATCACAATACCAAGGTATCCATAGTTTGGAAGCAGACATTCCATAATTTTAATGTAGAAAACACTAGCCTGCAGCTCATGTTTTCTACATTTCCCTCGTGTTCTCAAATGCCTGTCATGTTTTACCACAGTGTAATACACAGCTTGGGTTTCTTTATTTGTAAAATAATAAATTGAGAATATTACATGGTGGCTTGAAGATAAGAATTTTATTTTCATGTGGTAAAATATTATTCACACAAGAAAATAAAATTCATATCTTCAAGCCACCGAGCAGTTTTCTTTGTTTTCTTATTATATAGACAAACTGACTGTTTGCACAAACACCAGTGAAAAAGAGACATGTCATCAATATCCTCACTAGTGAAGATATAGAAAAGTAGCAACTTCAGAATACCCGGCCAATATGCCCCTTGGCACCTGGAGGTAGTTTAGCATGAATTTTACAAGTGCAGTTTCCAGTAGAACACCTGTGTCATAATAAATTGCGGTTTTGTCGCACAGTATGTCAAGTCAAGACATTATCCAAGCTTTGAACAACTGGGCCCTAGTACAAAAACAGGCAACTTACACAACCGATGTGGCATAACAAGACACGAACTAGAAGAAAATTCTAAATTCACTTCCAGTGAGGTCACTCCAACCTTGAACACTTAATTTTTTTTTTTTTTTTTGCTAATCTTTTAATCACAAAGAATGAAGGCCCTTCATATTAACATGAACATAAAGCGTTTTTACACTTTAAAAACACCAATCTTGTATATTATTAAAGGGCCTTTATTTTTAAGTCACGATGTGTTCGTTGTTCGAGTGTCCTTGCTGTAAGCATTCACAATTCAAAACTTCGCATTATCAACAGTGCTCCTTGGATGTTAGAGTCCTCTAACTCATCAATGTTACAACTGTAATTTCAAAAGCATTTCATTTTGCAAGGTCTCCGCGTAAAATATTTGGACAAGAAGAAATTAAACTTAAGCTTGAATTCGATTCTACATGCAGTTGCCGACAAATTTTGCACGTTAAAATATCAAAGGTCACATAAAACGACACTAACAGGTTCGCAGCCTCCAGTCAAAATATAAAAGCAGTATCACAGGGAGGAATTTCTGAAGATAACCTTTTCCGAGTATGATACAGAGTCCAAATATTTCACCATCGTATAAACACAACAGAGGACTTCGCTGAAATTTGCGAAACTTTTAGCCACTGCAGAGGGGTGACAGAAACGAATATTTAGCCGGATGAGGATTTTAACACAACCCAAATTAAAAAGGGAAATTATTTTTATCATATTTACTGCTTGATGCCTAGATTAAAGCAAGGATTGAAGACGCTTTGTTTGGTTAGCTCTCTTACCTCTGATCGGAGAAGAGCAGAGAAGGAAAGAGAACGGACGAGAGACACAGCCTCGTTCTGATGTGATCTCGCGCATGCGTACTGAGAAACATCACGCAACCCGCCATTTTGTCAAGCAGGTCTTGTCAATGCTGAAGTTTGTGTTTGTACAGTTGATTTCTGACTTTTTTACGGTGTAAAAAAAGCTGTTTTCCTTTCAAATGAACCAGGCAGACAAAGGAGAGGAAGGAAACAGAGAGGAGTGGATGACAAAGTTAACAGACATGCGATTTCAGCGAGCAGATATGAATCGTTTGATTATGGACTACCTTGTAACCGAGGGCTTCAAAGAAGCTGCAGAGAAATTCAAAATGGAATCTGGCACACAGCCCTGTGTTCCACTGGAAAATCTGGACGAAAGGATAAAAATCAGAGCTGCAGTTCAGCGCGGAGACATCGAAGAGGCAATTGCGCTCACGAACAAACTAAACCCGGAAATACTTGACTGTAAGCCACACTTGTATTTTCATTTGCAGCAGCAACGCCTGATCGAGTTAATTCGCGATAAAGACATCGAATCAGCTGTTGACTTTGCCCAGAATCAGCTCGCCGATCAGGGCAATGAATCGCCTGAGTTTCTGGAAGAATTAGAGCGCACTATGGCGCTTTTGGCGTTCGATAACCCAGAGGATTCGCCAGTTGGCGAACTGCTTTGCCCTTCTCAGAGACAAAAGGTTGCTAGTGAATTGAACGCTGCCATTCTAGAGGCGGAACATAAAGAAACCTCACCCAAGCTGTCTAATTTACTAAAACTGCTGCTGTGGGCCCAAACTGAGTTGGATGCTAAGAAAGCTAAGTTCCCCAAAATGGTGGACCCTGGCAGTGGACTTTTTGATGGCAGCCGATAGATCTGGCAAGCTTTGACTTAGTTACTCCGTGTATGTACGTGAGACAGACCTCGTGACAAAGGTTTAACATCTGCCAATAAGCCTCAACCTCCCTAGGTACTTGGGTGACTTCTTTTGTGCTCAAACTTCTTGCATGAGTCACATAGTGTCTTTGTGTGGTGACAGACAGATCTAATTTGAACATGGTAATTGATGGTGATTTTTTTTTTTGCAAAATTTGGTAAATTTTTGCAGCAATGATTCACCTTTTCTTTTTGAACATAACTTTTTTGTGCATGTATTAATGTTTTGATCTTAGTTTGTGAAATAGATAAAAATGAAGATTTGCTTAATTAATATAAAGAGCTATGTAAACTGCAATCAGTCTCTTTCATCCTCGTTCTTCCCGTGTTGCACATTGTAAATCCTGGAATTAGTGCCGCATGGTGCTTATTTTCAGTTAAGGATGGGGTGGAGGGCACTTTGTCAAGAGCCCTGCCCTGTTGAAAGGAAAAACGAAAACTGAGAATGGCATGAACAGCTCAACTTTATTTTGTTTCTGTAACATTGGAAGTTGTTTTGCATTAATGTGGGCATTTACGCCTCAGAATTTTAGCTGATACAGTTTAGGTACCCTATCTAAGGGTCACACAATGCTAACACACCTGTCACGGGCATTAACAATACCGTATTCAAGGATTGGGAACCGTAATACACCACCCGCTCAGTGACACATACCTACAGTATATAGTGAATATGTAGGAGTACCTCACTGGGGTCAAGAGGAGGTGTTCATTTAAA